AAAAGATAACATACAAAGAAACATTGGTAATCTTTTTATATATGAGACAATGTTTGCTAAAAGTATTGCAATCACTTTGATTGTCAAAGTCATATTTGAATATTAAAGTATTTAATACTCAGGAATTCATACTGATTTTGGAACATTTCTTCCATAACTGCTAGTTCTTCCTGTCATTTTAAGTTCTTAAAACTTTAAAACATTTTTTAAGTTTTAAGCAGAATTTGTGTAGTTGTTTACCATAAGAAACAGAAAATATTTTTCTTAAAGACAACACTGCTTTAAATGCTATTTTTTAAGAATAAACTTTGAACTTCAGTTTCAACCCAAGTGAAGCTTCGTATTAAGCTGTTATGCCCATGGGAGTGGGTGAGTGGGTGAGCAAGAATCAAAAAAATTCAAGTTAGCAGTCATGGCAGTGCAACAAAAGACCTGCTCTTTTGTACATGCCGGTGTCATACCTACAAAAGGGACAAAGCTTCAATAGTACGATTGCATCTTGCTCTTTTGCCTCCCACCCTAGGATGCTCTTATGTAGTGGGATCAATATGGGTGAAGGAATATGAAAGAGTAAATAAAAATGTATTATAACCTATAATATATTAGAGCCCAAAATAGCAATACATCAAGGGGTCAAACTTGATTTCATTGAGGACCACATCAGGGTTGTGTTTGACCTTGGGAGTGAGGGGCGTGGGGTAGGCAGCATGGCTGGGGTGGGTGTGGCCAGGGTAGGCATGGCCAGCTCAATGTCACTCATGTGGTGGCCCGGGCGGGGCTGGGGAAACCTGTGGTCAGCCAATCAGGGCTGGGGAGGATCTTGTCTCCAGTGGAGGAAGGCAAGATAGGGAGAGTGACAAACCCTTGTCCTCCAGTGGAGCCTCGCCATCCCTTAGGCCACACAGAGGACCCCTGGATGGCAGCACAGGCTGTTCAGAGCCCTAGGCAGAGGAGGCCAAGCGCCCAGCCCAGCCCTCAAGCTCCCAGGGCACCTGGACCCCACAGCCTAGCCCTACTTCCCAGTGGGGTGCCCGGCTACGCTTACCTCCTCCTCGAGACTGCTGCTGCTGTTCTCACTCTCCTTGGCCAGGTTGCTCATGGTGTGTGCAGGAGGGCAAAGTGTGTGGGTCAGAGGGAGGCCCACTCCCTCTCCACGCAAGGAGATCTGGCTGTGTAACCAAAGCATCCTCAGCGATAGTATAGGAGATCACCATCCTCTTTCCCTTTCCTGTTCCTTCTTGGATGTTCAAGTGCAAAAGGGGAAACATTTCTCCTTTTGTTTTGGTTTTAGTTTGTTTTGCTAGCCCTCTGCCAGCGAAAATGGAGTGTGCGGTCCTCCCAAGCTCCGTTTTCGCTGGCAGAGGGCTGCAGGAGGCTGGCATGGCTGAAAATGGAGCCTGGGAGGATATTATTGGCTGAGAATCTGAATGCTTTGCACCCCCCAAGCTCTGTTTTTGCTGGCAGAGGCACTGCAGGCCGATCCTTCACTGTTTCCAGGGCGGCCCTGTGGGCCAGATCCAAGCCTTGAGTTTGACACCCCTGCAATAATCACCTGTATAATCATAGACATTATCATTAATAAAAATCTCCTAAAATATATAACCCCTAGAGAGAAATACAATTTTATTGCCAAAAGCAGTTCAGCTGCAAATATCTAGAATAAATTTATTTTATTAGTCATATTTCTATGCCGCCCACTCTCTGAGGACTCTGGGCGGCTTACACCAAAGACAGTATACTAAATAGCATATTGCCCCCAACAATCCGGGTCCTCATTTTAACCATCTCGGAAGGATGGAAGGCTGAGTTAACCTTGAGCCGGTGAGATTTGATCCGCTGATCTGCCGAACTAGCAGTCAGCTGAAGTAGCTGCAGTACTGCACTCTAACCACTGCGCCACCTCGGCTCATAAATGCCAGAATATGGTAATATTACTTATGGATTATACATCCATTGGTACAAACATAATCAATATGACAAGCAACTGATAAAAGTAAAGCATATATGCAAGAATAAAATAAAAGCTTAACAAATGTGTGATGTCCCATTGGTTTTTAATGTATTCATGGATAAATATAAAAGGAATGCTTAAGACAATGAAAGTTTGTTAAGAAAAAGTTATACATAAATGATGAAAAACTTGACAAGTAGGTGAATTTGTACACTATAGTAGGATGTGTACTAAAAATGGGGAAATAAATGAGATACAATATATATGAGTAAATTTTAATAAGGTAATTGCAAATCCTGGTAGAAAAATAGCAAATAAATTGATTTATTGCATGAAATAAATATTGGAAAAAGCAAAGTTGAATGTATACTTGTGCCCACTTTGTGATTCAGTAGTGAAAACTGAATGTCAGGGAAAACGTAAAAGTGTGCTGAATATAGTATAGATTATTGGACTAGTACTAAAGAAACTAGAATGAATTGCCCAGGTATTAAATACAATTGTATATAATTGAACTGAATAGAAAAATGAATGAGCACTATGAAAGAAACAAATGTTTCATTTGGTCATATACAGAGAATAAAAAAAGTTTAAAACATAAAACCAATAAAGGTAGAGCAAATTAGCAAGCGGAAAATAAAATAACATTCTGAATGTGAGAAGCTTAAAGGAATAAAAAAGGTTTCTTTCTCTCTCTTAATCTCATTGCTTTGTTTTACTACTTCATTGCATTAAAATAGTAAAACACTACATACTATTACTATTGCCTAACCTTATCTATACCAAAAGGAAATAGTTTTATAATTATGCAAGAAGAGTGTATGATGTGATCTAAATTCAGAATTAAACTAGTACCGGTAATTTTATCTCTGTGTATCTCTTATATGCTAATGCAGAAAATGATCAAATGGCCTTACTTTTATTTAGTTTTATTTAATGATATTTTGATATGGTAAAACGTATCTCCTGAGTTCTACAGGCAAACAATATACTGAGAGCAAGTGAAATTTTAAAACCACATTTATTTTAATACAAAATGTGTTGCATCATTACAGAAGTAACCTTAACTGTCTATCTTCACATGCATGGATAATCTTCACATCTCCATTTAATTGTAAGCTTATACTGATTTCCAATACTGTTGGAAAATTTTGGTAGAAATTTTCCCTTTTGTGCTTTTTCAATAAGTACTCTATAGCTACTTTATTTATAGCTAATGAGATGGGCATTGCAAATTGTGCTTTACATACACAGTATATGCATCGAAGTTGCAAATATATTGTGATCTCAAATATTAGATGCACTTGGTCGCACACCAATGCTGTGTCAGTGCAATTTCTAAATAAGGCGTTCATCATCCTTGTGATTAAACAGAAGCATCACACAGTAATAAACCTTACCACTTGACCTGAAAAACTGCAATAGGAAAAGTAATTTTTTATTGTCCCAGATTGAATTTATATGCATTTTGATAGATGCTTTAAAATACCAAGCCCCTTATTGGTTAAAGTACATTTTACACAGTACAACCAAAACATGTTTATTTATAACACCTAATAGCATATAGCATCTACACTTTAAGTATATGTACAAATTCAACAAAATATCTACATATAAAAGCTTACTTAAAATTAAACTTGATGCAAGTTATGAAAAACCAATTTATTGGCAAATGAAACTGAGCATTCCTTCAACCATAGGTTGTTATATAACATTTTATATTTGGAGGTAAACCTTTTCAATGATAATTTGTGTGTGTGTGCATGTGTGTGTTTATGAGGGAGTTTGCAATTAATATGAGGCCATTTAAATAAAATTAAACTTAGCATTTATTAAATGATTTAACTCTTTTGTAGGATTCTATACCCTGTTATATGCCAAGCACTCTACTAAAAGCTATATTCTGATTTTCTGACCGAGAGATAAATATGCTATTGTGAGGGTGCTCTATTAGCATATTATTTTGAGAATAGCTGTATTTACATTAGCAAAAAAATGCAGCATTTTTGTACAAGTTACATAAGATCATGAAAATGCAAGTTGTACTTTATAGTTCATCTCCATAAATAAAGAAATCTCAATGAGTTGTAATGTAGCTTAAATACAAGCCATTCCTAATCAAACCAACATATCTGGGTATTTGAAAATGATTGAATTACTTTGGCAATTAATCACACACTGTTAAAGTCAACTGAGTTGGACAAAATACATTGGGAACATTCCTGCCAGTATTCTTTCTGCATTTGTTTGGTGTTTGCTTAAATACCACCATGTTTATCATGTTCAGAAAACTTCCTGGTGGATGATGCCAGTTATAGAACATAATGAAATGCACATTATTTGAAGATACTGAATATATTTTGCCATGTATATTTGTGGTCTAACTTTTTATAATTTGAAAAATTTACATCCATAAGTGTACAACTCCAAAATGAATTAAAACGAAAGAAAACATAAAACCCAATGTGTACTATATTTCAAAAAATAGAACACTGTGATGCAGTAATATTTCATAATTAAAAAGCCTATAAAATAAGAGAAGCGAAAAGCAGGTATCAGAATCTCAGTTAGCATCAGAAAATGTGTCATACTTAGTCATTTTCAATCATATACTGTACATCCTGTTCCTAACTGTCTTGCAAGAGACATAATAACATTAAGCTAGACATTGTCACCAATTTCACAGCAATGTCCACAAAGACATTGAAGTTCTATATACTACTATAACACTCTGACAATGAGAATGGACTTGAAGGATTTAGTTAAAGACTGTTTAACAAATTATGAAAAATCATTTTCACTAGCATAACTGATTTTTTTAGATATATGCAACACTTTGCATGCATTATACTGCATTTGCAATATTAACTGATGTTCCTCACCTTAAAATCTTTTATAAACAAATGCTATGTAAAATGCTTCAAGTTTTACATTCTGATTTAGATTTTTGTTATAAATTCTATACTTACAGAATTTTTTTTTCATTGGTTAGAATATTTGTTTCTTTTCTTATCTGTAATTAGGGGAATAAGTGTGGTGTAGATGTTGATATGGAACAGTTTCTTTAATTAGACAAATGAATTCATTGCATTAACTGGGGAAGGAGCTTCAGAACTTTCATTTCCTTCTGCAGGTTCTTTCTCTTTTTTCCCACTGTATTGTCCAATAAAGGACCCATCCTCATTGAACTGACCATTGACTCCTTCTCCATAATCTACTAAACTATCATCACTGTCTTCCTTTTTCACAGTCCTGTCTGAAGGTGACCTGCTTCCTTTTTTCAGAGGCTTGTGATCATCCACGTCACTGAAAAAAAATAAAGGAGCCATCTTTTAGAAACAAGTACAGCAAATATATTTTCTATAGTTAACTGATATTACATGACAAACACAAATTAATAGAGTGCAATTGGCATGAATACATGGTACAATCATGGTTTAAACACAAGAAGCTTCCAGTAGCAGAACACCATTTTTTACCATTGTATATGGGTTTCGGCTTCAAATTTTGCACCAGAACAAAAAAATTGCAAGCATTAGATATGGCTTTTCGGTCTTCAAATATAAAATTATGGTGTGTATTGAAATTAGTTTGTTAAATTTCTTAATTTTCAATTCCTTCATATGAATGAGAAATGAATTTGATTATATGAAAACACTGATTCCTTCATTATGAAAATATAATAATATGTTCTATTTGATATTTTACACATATCAGGGTTGAAATATTTAACCTTACCTTTTAAGAGACTTATATATTTCAATAAAAGGGTACAGAAGAAACAAATGAAAATAACCTAAGAAGAAAAGCAGACTCTATACCCCGACAATGATCAGTAATTAATTGAACCAGAACCAGAACGCAATCACATTAAATATTTCCACAGAATGAATAAATATTTTTATAAATAGTTGTTGCCAGGTTTGGATAAAGTCACAGATATTATGTAATGCCACTGGAGAAAGTGCACTATTATATAAAAATATATATTTTGCTGTTCTGCTGAAATAACAAATAAAAATGCATAAACATTGCATGTCCCAATTTTAATAGTTAGCTATGCAAACATTGCTAATAATGTATCATTCGGGCACCTGTTCTTACCTTACTCCAAAGCAAGCAATGCAAAAGAAATATGTTTTGCGGGAACAGTGCTACCTTGGTTACATTATTTTAACAAAGTTACAATTGTACACTATCTTAACAATGTAGAATTCATTTATATAAAAAAGGATTCCTTGCTATTTTATATACCGAGCTAGATATATTGGTGAATTTATTTTACAAATCAGTACGTCATGGATTTTTTTCTGTTTATGCTACTATAGAGGCACAAACTTCAACACTATCTGGTAATGAATCAATTCTAAGTGTATCAAATAAACATGGTGAATATTTTAGTGGTTTTGCCAAAACTTTATACCTTCATTTTTGTTCTATTTCTGTAAAAAATTACACACTATGGTCTATGGTAGGACTATCTTTTTTTACCTGATAACTGTCAGCTGTAGATTCTCCAGCATGGGTTTCTGCAGCGTGCTTGCTATCGGCTCCCACAGAAATGGGGAGTGGGGCTTGGGCATTTGGGATGGAGAAATGAGCTGGTGTGTAGTAGTCCCATGAGAACTGGAAGGGAGGTTTGTACTCATGAATTATGGCAACTGCTGAGTGGAGTTGTTTATACTCTGTCAAGGTCAACCATGACTCCATATGCACAAAATACCTGAAGAGGAACTCTCCCATATCATCATGCTGAACGTTGATTGGTCTCTCAGTGCTGGGCCCTGGGGAGAGGGATTTGGGGTGTCTTTCAAACACGTGTAACTTTCACGTGTTTTGACTCAGATCTTGCCTTGCTTTTGCTGCTATCATTTCAAATTTAGTAAAATTACCTCTCCTTTAATTCAATGGAGTTGGGGGTTTTCTTTCTTGATGGTCTAGATGGACTGGTGACAAATTATACATGCCCATCAGTTTGAGGGTAACTGTTTTACAGTGGACCCATGATTTGAAAACTGCCGGCCATTTTGATTTCATGAAGGCTTTACACCTGATCAAGCTGCAGTTTTAGTGGCCTTCATTGAAAAAGGACATTGAGGCTTATGTTGCCAGCTGTCCTATCAGTACTGCTACCAAATGGCCTCTGTAAAAGCCTGCTGGGCTCCGCCAGAGTGTTGCCAATCCTAGGGCCCTGTGGAAAGAAATATCTATGGATTTTATTGTAGAATTGCCTGAGAGTGGGGGAAATACAGTCGTTAGGGTTTACAGATTTATTTTCCAAGCAGGTGCATTTTGTCCCATGCCCTAAAATACCTTCAGCTAAAGGGCTCTCTAACTGTTCAACATGTGTATGGAGTTCCTGATCACATTATCTCAGACAGGGAGGTGGAATTCACCTCCCAATTTTGGCTGGAATTCCTTAAACTGTTAGGCTCTGCCCAGGGATTAAGCTCTGCCCACCATCCTCAAACTAATGGAGTTTGTGAATGGACCAACTCAGTTCTGAAACAGTACCTTAGATCAGCGGTTCTCAACCTGGGGTTCGCGACCCCTTTGGGGGTCGAACGGCCATTTCACAGGGGTCGCCAAAGCCCTCTCTCACCCCCCCCATGCCTTCACTCACCCTCACTCTCTGCTCTGTTGGATCGCCGGCCGTTCATTTACCCCGCCCACTCCCAATCTATTGCTGCCTCCGATAGCTAGAGGAAAAAAAACGGTTTAAATTCTTGCTGCGGGGCTTCAAAGGGCCGCCCTATAGCCAGTGGTGCAGCCGAACCACTGGCTATAAATTGCTGGCTTGCCCTGCCCCGCCCCTCTGCACCACTATTTATTGCCAATAAATAGTGGTGGGCGAGGGGCGGGCGAGCCAGCAATTTAACAAATGGTTCGGTGTTTTTTTGTAATTTTATTGGCCCGCGGAGCTTCAGCATAGGCTAATTAGCCCTTGATTAGATCGGCTCCCGACCCCCAGCTGATTTGCTCTTAGCTGTTTTGCTCAGGGCTCTGCTGCTTGCTCGAGCAGATTTTTTTCCCCCTATCTATGCTGAAAAACAAAACTGAAACTGCTTTGCTGTTGCTGCAACTTGGAAAATTAGGCAGGCAGATTTCTTTTCTTTTTCCTCACCAAAAAAGGTAGATACAAACAACGGGAAATTTAGGGAAAAAGAGGAGATTTTAAAACACAAAAGAAAAAAAGCTCTATTTAACTAGGGAATTGTAATAATTGAGATACTATTAATTGTATATTGTGTTGAAAGCAAAAATGGTTAAGTTGTGGTTTGGAGAAATATATGGGGGAAATTATTTGGTTTATTATTATTGGTAAAAATAATTAATTGATTTGTAAGAAATTGGATGGCATGGAAATAATTGGAATATTCATGTTCATATTGATTAATATACAAAAAAGGTAGTTATATAACTAATTGATTTATATTAAAATGTTGAATTTATATTAAACAACTGTAATATTACATAATTAACCAATGTGAGGATGGATATAAAAATAGATGACAATGGGAAGGGGTATAATATAGAATAGAAGGGAAAAATTGAATTTGATTAAGATTAGAGATGAGGATGAAGGGTAATATTGTTTTTTTACAAAAATAGATGAGGAATAAATATGGCAAAAAGGAAATATAGAAATTGTAAATTTAATTGAAATGACTAAACACTGTTTAAATTTATGAACCGGCCAAATACTCTGTTCAAAGAAAATACATTGTATGTTTGTATGTGTGTTTCTAATTATTGTTATTTATTCATATTTGTTCTTTTTTATTCTTTAAAGTTTAACAATTCATTCTTTATCTTAATATCTTTATATTTGTTTGGGTTGGCTTTCTTCCCTTTCATCTTTTCTATTGTACAGCAATCTTTCTCCTCAAACCTACCACCTCTCTCTTTTCTTTCCTTCTTACTTTTTCTTCCTCACCCTCTTCTTCTCCTCCCTACTTCCTCTTCCTTTCTTCTTCTCCTCCTCTCTTCCTCCCTCTCTTACCCTCACTCCTACTCTAATTTCCCTTCCCTTCCTTCATCCCTCTCTATTGCTGTATCCTTTTATGCATATGGACTACTCAGAGGGCTGAAAAAGTTATTTCTGACTGGTCTTCATACTTTTGACCAATCTTCGAACTTACGACTGTCCTCACATTTTACGTTTTTGCCCTATCTTGTCACCATGGTGAAGAAAAGCAGTTGTGAAATGAGTGACACATTGTTAAGAATGCTACAATGGGCATAAATGATGACCAGTCATAAGTGCGAAGACCGGTCAAAAGTGCGAGGACTTGTCACAAATCACTTTTTTCAGCCCTCTGGGTAGTCCTTTTGTGCATATGGACTACTCAGAGGGCTGAAAAAGTTATTTTTGACTGGTCCTCGTACTTTTGACCAGTCCTCGAACTTACGACTGTCCTCACATTTTACATTTTTGCCCTATCTTGTCACCATGGTGAAGAGAAGCAGTTGTGAAATGAGTGACATGGTTGTTAAGAATGCTGCACGGGCATAAATGTGATGATGGTCATAAGTGTGAGGACCAGTCAAAAGTGCGAGGACCTGTCAAAAATGACTTTTTTCAGCCTTCTGAGTAGTCCCTATACACATAGCCATGGCCACCCGGTCACATGACCAGCTAGCCACACCCACCCAGTCACATGACCTCCAAGCCACGCTCACAAAATAAGCCACACCCACAGAACCGGTAATAAAAAAATTTAGAACCCACCCCTGGTTGGGGGTCACCACAACATGAGGAACTGTATTAAAGGGTCGCGGCATTAGGAAGGTTGAGAACCACTGCTTTAGATGCTACATGAATTACCAGCAGGACAATTGAGCCGACCTGCTGCTCTTTGCAGAGGTCGCTTATAATAACTCAGTACATAGTAGTATCGGCTTCACCCCATTCAAAGTTGCTTCTAGTCCACAAGAGAAGCCTCTGATCCCCTGCTTAGTGGAGTGGATTGAACAATCGCAACGCTCTCAGCCAGTCACATGTAAAGCACTGGATGAGGCACATCAAACCCATAAGAAACAGGCTGATAAAAAGAGGGCTAAACTGAAAGAATTCCAAGTGGGAGATAAAGTGTATCTGTCCACTAAGTACTTACAAACTACCCAAAAATCGAAGAAATTGGGACCAAAGTATGTGGGCCCTTTCCAACTGTGAGAATCATTAACCCAGTTACTGTACAATTGGATCTACCACAAAACCGTAAGATGGATCCACCCTGTATTTCATGTTAGCTTATTCAAAGTTGAGAAAGTGTTTCCCCTTTGGTTTGCCCAGCCTGCCCCTC